CCCCAAAACCCCAAAACCCCAAAACCCCAAGCGCAATTATCAAGTGATTGAAAGACAACTTATTTTTATAATTAAAGTTAAAGTAATTAACTGAATTCTAAACTTGCCTTTACTATGCTTTTAAAAGTTTAAGTTTATTTCTTTAATATATTGTGTTAATAATCATTTCCAAATAGATCCCTTCTAGCCACCTTTATTTTCTGATTCAGATCATGTTTTAGTCTGAGAAGACTGGCTGTATCTTCATTTATCCGACGGAGAGATTTTTCTTTCAATTTTTGTAATCAATGAGTTACTCGTCCTTTCCTCCTGTTCCTAAATTGCTATTTCTGCTATTATTGTCCTCAAGTATGCTGACATCTGCGACTTTATTCACATCAAAAGACGTTCTGAAAGAACAAGCTTCTACCATTCTCTTATCTGCTTAGGTATTATCTTGTTTAAGTTCCTCAACCAGATCAAAATCAGCTTTGTTTATCTTTTATGTATTTAAGTGGTGTATTCTAGATAGACTTTTTGGCTTATCTACTTGCTTATTTTGTTCATATGAATTGTGTTAGCTAAAATTGTTCTTACCCTCCTCAGTATGATGATCTCCATCTAGTTTAATCTGATCTACTACTAAATAGGAATTGTGCCTGCTTGGGTCTCTCTTGTGATTTTCATCATCTTTAGCTTTATCATCAGCCTATTCTTGCTTTTTCTTACAGCACCTAAGTTTTATACATTCATGGAATTCATCATAAGTCTTCTTAAGTTTTCTCGTGTAGCAAACGGTAAAAACTGTTTGCATTCCTAATAAAAGAAGAGATACAAATACGCCAAACCCAATCAAAGCCATATCTCTATTGCTATATGTATTGAACTGCTCGACACTGTAATTAACTACACCATCTGAGCATTAGTTGTCTGTCACATACTGAAGAAATTTTTCGTCTAAGCTAGAATTATAGCTTGTAATAGCACAGAACAGGATGAATATGACCACAACTAGAATCATTTTGATGATTGTGTAAAGATGTCTAAATGATGTATTGCAGCATTACTTGCAATCACGGAATGACTCACACCTGCAAAGGCAAGAACATTAAGCTAACAATGTCACCAATTCATAGATAAAAGCTACGATAGCAATGTAGCATGCAGGCTTATACTCCTCAGATTTCTTTCTCATATTTTAAGCCTATTTTGCAAAGTACTCAGTTGAATATTCTTGCATACATTTAAATTTCCAAAGTGCATAAGATTTATAGTACATTTTATAGCTATTTTTACTCAATTCAGATGTTTAGTCCTAACTAAGTTGATCATAAATGCTTCTATAAACGTTATTTTCGCTATAAAGTTTGAATTCTGTCACATTAAATAAAGCATCCTGATAGTTTTTATACTAATCTCCAGTGAAAATATCTGTGCACTGATCTAGTTCGCTGTATACACTGTTTATTGGTACATCTCTAGCAAATCTTGGTGTTCTCATGTTTGCGCATGGCCTGCCAAATTAGACATTAATCCTCACTATTGGATTCTAATTTGGTGAATCTAAGACAGCATCATAATATGCATAATCTGCCATAGTCTTTCTTGTGAATTTATGATAATCAGTTGGAGTTTAATCCTTACCCCAGAATTTAATTCCATTCAGACTACAGTTCTAGTATTAACTTGTCTCACAGTATTAAAAATCCGAGCTGTTCCAATCACCACATTTACCTTTCTCAGGGCATGAAGAATTCTATATATTTATTCTAGATGCTTATATTTAGTGGTAGTTCTTGTTGTTCTAACGTTATATGCAAAAAATACTTCCGTAAAAAAGTTCCATATCTGCTTGTTCAATTCCAAAAAACGAATTGCCTTTGTTTTTGTCTGAGCACTTCCCTAGACTATAAGTAGTTCTAGTAATTCTGCAGATATCTTTAGTCCCCAAAAATCTAGCAGTCAGCTAATCATAGCCTTAAGGGCATTTATTAACCTTATTGGAATCTGTTTACAGATGTCTCTTGTTCAATTTTGAAGAACTGAGTATTCTTCTTAATTTTGTGCTTTAGTCTATTTCTAAACGATCTATATGGCTAACATAATTATCAGATACAACATCATCATATTCTTAATTTTCATCAAAGCCATAAAGCATTCTTGTGCTTGAATTTGAACTAGAATTAGTCTGTGCCATTTTAATCGTGATAAAGGAGGATATTGAAGGAGTACTCCAATCCAGAGTTTCACTTGCTACCAAATCTGCATAAAGAGTAGTATCACTAGATAATAAGATAGCTCCGATAATCAATAGTATCATAGTGGGAATTAAAATTACTGCTCTTGCCAAAAAGTATGGCTAAAAAGCCGGCTGCATTTTAATCGATTACCACATCTTAATTATATTTGTAAAATTAACTTCAAATTACAATATATTAATAGTATTACAATTTAAAACTAATAGAATTGCTTAGTATACGCAAAGGAGCAAATGATAATATTAACTTGATATCTTTAAAGAAGATGAAGTCAAGCTTGATATGTTAATTGAAACAATAGATTTAACTAGCATTAAATATCTGGCGATAAAGTTAGAAAAAGACTCTAACCCAAATATAAGATCACTATTATCCGATTTTCATCTGTTTTTATTCAATTTTATTCACAATTAAAATACTAAATTCGAACTTCAAATATTTCAAAATTCAAGATACCAGGGGTTTTGGGGTTTTGGGGAGATCGGAA